CTATCTATATATATATATATATCTTTTTATTGTGATTTTAATGAAAGTTTACAGAAAACTTAGATTTCCATTTATTCATTGTTGCACATTTCCCTCCCCGCCCCCCAGTTTGCTTTTCTCTTTAAAAAAAAATTCATTCATTGTTGCAAGGGACCAGTTTTAACTGGAACAGCTGTACTTGGGCCAACACTTCCTCTGCTCTTCTTTATTGGTATTAGCTTTCCCTAAGGTAAACGAATGTTTTGAAACACATCTGCCAGGTAATGCCAACTATAATGAAACCATTCACTTATCCCTTGGTTATTTTGGTCCAGCTGCAGGTCTAGCCACCCTGAAACTTGAACATCAGTATGTACGATCAGTCACAAGGGAGATAGGCCAGTTGAACTAGTGAGCATGTGCTTACTTCTATCTTTGCTTATGGAGCGTCAGAAGATCACTGTCATATCGGCAGGACAGGATATTTTAAACACTCATGCTCTCATATAATAAGCCTGTTACTTTTTCCACAGATAAGGAAAACAAAACTATTTTATAACAGTTACTTGCTTCCTTTCTTACATTACAACTTTTTTTTTAAAAAGAGGAATATGGACATGAGATAGCTAAGTCTAATTAAAAATTGATTGTCTGATTGTCCAAATCTATATAGATTCACCAGGCTTTATCTGAAGCACCTCTGCATGGATCCAAACCTCCAACCTTTTGGCTAACAGCACTAACTTTTAATGCTAAGCTTGCTGCATCTAGAGCTATAATTGGTTTACAATGGTACTCTCTCTTTTATTAACGTGTTTAGAATTTAAAAGTGATGCAATAAAACACGCAAACCACATGAATATTACTTTCAGCATTTTTAATCATTATGAAAGAGAAATTCTTTTCTTTTTGGTTCTTGATATTTACTCAAGTAGCAGAAGTGGCATCTACTTCCTAAACAACATGCCTCTAGAAACTCTATGAACTTTGAGAAATGACATTCATTGGGTCATTATGATTCGTGTTCTTCTTGACGGCAATCATCATCAACAACAACAACAGCAACATATTCAAATTCATGTAGAAATTGTAGCCAAATATCTCATTTAACAGTAACAAAGTGTTAGATTTTAAAAGCTTATATAAATGTTGATTCCCTACTAGAGAAAAAGGAGAAATATTAGAAAATTATTAGCATTTAAGATAGTTATAAAAAACATTTCCAAATCTAAATGGTTTGCAGTCTTAAAGTAACCCATCCTGTCTTTTTCATATTAAATTTTAGTAAATATCACAGCCAAACAGTTCCACACGAAGTGCAATACTTTGATTCCATGTTTTAGGAATGATTCGGATAAACCTGGAAATGATTGGCGGGTTGAAAAAGTTCTTCACGTGTCCTTTGATATTATTATTTCCTCTGAAAATCTGAAATAAAAATCAGAAAAACATTTACTGATATTATAATAAATATTTTTAAAATTGCACATAATGTTTAAATCTTTTTCGTGCAAAAAAAGGACATTTTAAAAGCCCACCTACAACATCGCCAGAAAAATTATTCCTAAATCAATTATGAGATGAAGTTCCAGACAGACCTGTTTCGGGTCACATCACTATTGATCTGAATTGAGCTGGTCACGGTGGGGGTGGAGAACAAAGAAGCCTGGGCTGGGGCATGGTGCAGATACCAACCTATCTTCACCCTTTGCCTTTCAGAAGCTGTGTGACTTTGAGCAAATTATTTATATTATTTGATTCTCCATTTCCTCATTAGGGAAATGAAAAGAAAAAAATTTTTACTTTCCAGAGGTTTTAAAGATTACAAAATGTGTACTAACGTATGTCAAATATCTATTAACTAAGTGCCACAAGTGGATACCATTAAATAGTTAAGATAGCTAACACTGTGAGCTCAGGTGTCACAGTCCACAGGAAGTCACACTGCTAACTCAAAGGCCACACTTCTCTAATGGTTCAAATCCATCAGCAGCAAGTGAAATATTTGCAGTCTCCTGCACTGCCTCAAAAACCCAAGGGAGGGCTAACTGTGTGTCAATTCCAACCAACGGCTAGCATTGCAGATAACATGTGGCCATGGACATCATGTTTGGGAGGGTGGAAGGACAGCACAGGAGGGGAAGGTCCTCTATGAGGTGGACTGATTCAGTGACTGAGGTAATCGGAATGGGTGTGTCAGAAGGAGTGTGATTGGCACAGGACAGAGCAGAGTTTAGGGCTGTTGTACATAGGGTCGCTATAAGTCACAAGCAACTCGATGGCACATAACAACAACAACATGCATTCTTATTTATCATCTTAGGTACGTGTTTAGATTCTAAAACTAAATGCTGTTCTGTGCTTTTCCCAACTTCATCATCAGTGAATTCCCTAAAGTTTATATATGTTGTTGTTGTGTGCTGTCGAGTTGGAATCGATCCATAGCTGAGCCTCCAGTAGGTTTTCAGAGGCATGAAATGGCACAGGAGGGAGGAAACTGTGCCAGTCTTTCTCCTGCAGAGCAGCTGGTGGATTCAAACTGTGTATCTTTGCCTTGGCAGCACAAATCCTTACCAGAAAGCCCCCAAAGCTCCTGAGATCTACACATAGTAAATATTAAATCACTATTTGTTCTTTAAAATATTAATAATAATAATATTTAAGGTATAAAAAACATTAACCAAATTTACTCATGGATTTAAAATAGAGAAATAGGTTCAAATTAATTAGTTAAAAAGAAGTGATGAACATATTCTGAGCACTCAGTGACTATTGGTTCTTTTTCCTGTGCTGTCTCTTTTGCCCTGGGTTGCTGTAAAGCTGAACCTTGTGCCATTGGGGTATCAAATACCAGAATGGCTTCCCAGTGTGGACAGTGTTTAATGGAGCTTCCAGTTGTAAAACAGGTTGGGAAGCAGGAGAGACATCCACTTCCTAAACCACATGCCTCTGGAAACTCTATGAACTTTGTGAAATGACGACAGTTATGTAAAGGCATTATGTCTTTTGTTCATAGAATTGCTATGAGTTGTGCTCGACTTGATGACAATCAACAACAACATCACTCTTGGTGGCTTCAGCCCAATTCCTGTTCCTGGAATATTATTCACATGTCCCTAGCTTTTCTTCTGATAAGATTTTTTAAGCCATTTAACTAATATGTAGGAGTGTATGCAAGCATATCAGAGATGATGAAGATGGGACAGCACAGAACAAAGTTCACATCTGCTGTTCACTGGGTCGCTAAGTGGTGTAGTCAACTCGCAGGCACCCAACAGTAACAAATCTAAAAGAAAATCTTGCAAGAAACCCAGTGTTCCCATCATAAGGGTATTAATTATTTTCTGCTCAGTCACACTGTAACATAAAAGATACTGGTGTTTTGGTAGGGTTTTTTTTCTTTTTTCTCTTTTTGTTTCAGTAGCTTTATTTATCCCTTAATACCAAAACATAATAGTAGTTTGTTAGGTTACCTAGGAAAATCAAAATTAACACAGATGTATTCAAAATATTGAAATGTATTAATTAGTTGTGAAAATGGAAAAGTTATCATAACATAAAAAATGTTTTGATGTTTTGTATTTGATCATTCATGAGTGACAAGTATAATAAGTATAATACTATTACAGTATTGTTTCACAGTAGAAGATTTTCTGGATCCCTTTACCATCTTTCCCAATCAGCTAAATAAAACTTACTCCACAAGATCCTCTGGCATTTCCCGCCCTCAGGGCTTTACACCCATCCATTACAGTTCAGCTTCCTGGTAAGAATTTGCTTTTCCACCTCAGATACATTGAACTAGAATCTACATTTTAACATTCCAGATGATTCTTACAGATCCTTAGGCGATTCTTACACATACTGAGACTGTGTTTTTAAGCAAGTAACATTGCTGTTGTGCATTTTCACAAAGCACACAACTTCTTGTGTATTAGTTTCCTATCTTCACTATGCACATACACTTTATTTATATGGGTGTGTTATATTTGAGTATATTCTGCTTACCAGAAGATCAATGGCTTGAATCTCCTAACTACTCTTAGGGAGAAAGGTGGGCAATCTCATCAGATAAAGGTTTGTAGCTTTAGAAACTTAAGCAGGATCACTATAAATTGGAATTGACTTGAGGGTACTGGATTTGGATAGGTTATAAGCAAAAATATAGCACATGAAAATGGCATGAGGATCTTGCTGGCATATAGATTCAGAGGCAGTTATCTGAGTTGGAAATGCAAATTCTCAGCAGGAGGCCAAACGTTCTGAGCCCTGTGAATTCAATGTCACACATAGCTCAGAGAAGAAAGGTGATGTGCATAGTATGATCCCTATCCCAAGATCAGGTACTTGCAGAGCTAGTATTTCAAAAACTAAAAGATGTATTGTTTGTCAATGCATTTGTATCAGCATGGAAGGTAGTGTTCTCATCAGAATACAGTTTTAAAATTGCTCTCCTTTTGCTAAAATGATATTCTATACCTTGTCTACCATGGAGAATTTCTGCCTGTAAGGCTTCCATTCCACTCCCTGGTTGCTGTAGTGGATGGTGTAGCTCTGCACATACATTTCAGAGTTCAGAGACTTGCAGCCTTGTGTTATAATTCCAGTTATCTTCTTGACTTTGAGCAGATCAATCTGTAGCCACTGTCTGTTGTTGTTTGCCTATGGAAATTTCAAACATGTAAAACACAGAGAATAATATCATGGACTGTCACACTTGAATTGTGACTTCTCAAAATGGGTTGCAAATTCCAATCTCATGGCCCATGGCTAAAATCCTATTTGGTAATAGGTTTTCTTTATTACGTTAATGAGACAGGAGTTAGGTTCATTTTGCATCACTCTCTTGCCACAGAAAAGCAACTACAACAAGCAAACTAAGAAAGGAAACTAGATGGAGATAAATGCTAAAGCACACAAGAGAATTTGCAAGGATTCAGGAAAGCCAAAGCTGAAGAGGCAAAACAAGAAAGAAGACATTCCTCTAGAGTTAGTACCCTGAATTCAAACTTGTCATCAAAACTGTGAGAAAATAATTCTATTAAAGTCAGCCACTTGTGCTATTTCTGTCACAACAGCACTAGTTCAGTGCGACATGAATACAGCATACTTATTACAGCTTCAAGAATTGTCAACAAATACATAACCTTATCTCTACTCTAATTCATTTCTCCCTCTGAAATAATTGTTGCTATTATGTCCCATCTAGTCAGAACCAATTCATTGCAGCAGGTTTTCAGAGGCGGTACATTGCATGGGAGGAGATTCCTCATCTTTCTCTCATGGAGCAGCTAATGGTTTCACACTATGTGCCTTTGGATTGGTAACACAGCTCCTTAGCACCAGGGCTCCCTAAAATTATCTTGAAGGAAATGATAGAAACCCTATTATTTCACCTATGAAGATTTCTTGCTTAAGTCTTGCCAAGTCCACATACTAACTGCGCACAAAAACAACACTGCAAATTTTTAGCTCTTGAATATTTGTGAAAGCGCCTCGGTGGTGGTAGCTATGAACTCTGCGGCTAATCAGTTGGGTGGTGGTTCTAAGACACTAGCCACTCTGTGGGAGAAAGGACACGCCAGCAATGTGCTGCTGTAAAGGTTACAGCACAGCACTACACAATGATCAAAGGGTCACATGAACAAGGGGACTTAAGGGTAATTATGCATAATTACATCTGCATACCCAATGGCAGAGCAGCAAGATACATAAATCAAAATTTAACAAATTTGAAAAGAGAAGTAGACAATTACAAGAATAGTATGAGCTTTCAATATATCACATTTAAAAATTTATTTTATACTAGTTTGTTTATAAAGTTAGTATACATTGTTTTTAACACTGGTTCTTTCCCATTTCCTTAACCCTCCCCACTTTTGAAGAGGGACAGAACAACTAGAAAGAAACTCAACAAAAACACAGAAGAACTAAACAATTCAATTAATTAACCAACTGGATCTCATAGGGATATATGGACTACTTCACCCAATAAGAACACAATATAAATTCTTCTCCAGTGCACATGGTACATTATCCAGAATAGACCATATGTTAGATAACAAAATAAGCCTCAATAAATTAAAAAAACAACAACATTGAAATACTACAAGGCATATTCTCAGATCACAATAGTATATAATTAGAAGTCAACAACAGAGACATCAAGAGAGGAGAAAAAAAATCAAAGACATAAAAAAAATCCTGCTTGAACACTACTGGGAAATATAAGAAATTTTTTAAATTCTTGAAACAAATGTGAATAAAAATACAGCATACAGAACTCTTTGCTACATAGAAAAAAAATTAGTACTCTGAAATCACACACATCAAAAAAGAAGAAAGAACCAAAATCAACACCTTAAACCAACATCATTAGTAACTGAAGAAAAAAATGTTCTCCAGAAGAAAGGACATAAAAAAGATAAGAACAGAAATAAATAAAACCTCAAAACATTAGAAAGAATTAACAAGACCAGAAATTGGTTCTTTGAAAGGATTAATAAAAGAAAAAAAAAATCCCTGGCAAATCTAATAAAGAAAGAAAAGCAACTAAAAATAAGATGTAATAATAAAACTATAAAAATAATTTCTATATTATTACAGAAATGGATGGCAATCCTGTTTCTTAACTTGTCCACCATGGGTGACTCTGCTTAGCTTCTAGCATCACAGCAACCTGGAAATCACCTCAGTATAGCAAATTGGTTGGCAAGTGTTGTAATTACAAGACCACACTATAAATGAACAAATATATATACTAACATATGCAGCATTACTTAAGTCACTCCGTTCCACAATATAGCAAAGAGCAAACCATAAAACAAGCAAGTATGCAAATACCATAAAGCAAACACACATGCTATGAGCGAGGTGTGTCAAGGGTATCACAAGGTAGGCCATCCAGCCTAGGGAAGAGTTTTTGCTGCCCTCAGAGATGTTTAATCTATTCTGCCTGGCTAAAGATGATGTCTTTGCCAATCCAGGGGGTGGGTGTCTCCCAGTCAGAAAAGGTGCCCCTTTTAATCTGGGGCCTGACTGTAGGCCAGGATTGGCACAGTCTGGAAAGAATTCTCTGTGAGCTTCCGGCTCCAGAAACAGGATGGCATTGATATAGTCAGATGTAGAGGTGGGTCTTGGTGGGGTGGAAGGGTAGGTGGGGGAACACATATCTTGAATTGGGAAAAGTCTACTGTAAGGGATCTCTCAAAAAATGCTAAAGGGCAAGGATGTCAGTTTAATAACTAAGATGTGCCTAATCCAATTCTTGGTCTTTTCAATTACTCCCATATGTATGAAAGTTGGACAATCAATAAGTATGACAGAAGAAGAAAAATGTCTTCGAACTGTGTTTTTGGAGAAGAGTACTGAATATGCCAAGGACCGCCAAGATAACAAACGTATACATCTAGGAAATAGTGCAATCAGTATGCTTTTTTAAGGCAAGAATAGTGAAACTTCATCTCACATACTTTTGGACATGTTTCCAGAAGAGATTGTCCTTGGAAAAAGAATTACTGGGAAAAGTGGTGGGTGGGGAGGATTTCAGAGAAAGAGAGGAAGATCCTCAACAAAGAGATTAACACAGAGGCTGTAACAATGGGCTGGATCACATCAGAGATGATAAGGATGGTTTAGGACAGGGTAAGTGTACATCTGCTGTTCACAGGGCCACAATGAGCTGCAGTTTTGAAACCCTTGAGGAAATGGACACATTTTTGTCATTCACTGCCTGCCTAAACTGATGGAGTTAGATAATTTGAACAGATCATCACAAAAGAAGAATTTGAGCAGGTCATAAAAACTCTCAACCAAAATATCGTAGTCTAGACATCTTCACTGGGAATGTTATCAAACATTCAGAGAAAAGTTGATATCAATTCTACTCAAACTATATCAGAATGTAAAAAAGAATAAATATTCTCAAACTTATTCTAAAAAGCAAATATAACCTTTATACCATAGACACTACTCAAAAGAAAATGATAGACCAGTATTTCTCATGAACACAGACACAAGAGTTCTCAACAAACTTCTAGACAATCAAATCCAGCATCATATATAAAAAACATTCATCATGGTTAAGTGGGATTCATACCAGGTATGCAAGGATGGTTCAACATTAGAAAAATAATCAGTGTATAATCCACCAAATCAGTACAAAGAAGGAAAGAACCAAATAATCACATCGATTAATGCAGGAAAGGTATTTAAAAAAAATTCACTTTCTTTTTGAGAAAAAAGCTAAATGAAATTAAAACAATATGGAAAACTCCTCAACATAATTAAAAGCATATATACACAAACAATGGTCAGCATCACTCTCAATAGAGAAAGACTGAAGACATTTCCCTGTTAAACAGGAATCAGACAAGGTTATCACTTAATAATACTTTTATTCTCTGGTGGCTTAGTGGCAAGACTCTGCACTGCAATCCCAAAAGCACACAGTTTGAGGCCACCAGCTCCTTGGTGGGAGAAGGATGGGCAATCTCCTCTTATGCAATTAACTGGTTCTGAAAACCCACTGGAGGGTCAGCTTTGGGTCAACTTTTACTCTGTGGTACACAACAACAATATTCAATATTATAAACAGAGCAATAAGGCAAGAAAAGGAAATAAAAGGCATCCAATTTGGCAAACAAGAAGTTAACTATTTCTATTTACGTATTATATGATCGAAAAGACCATGGTCTGAATCAGGTGCACCTTCATCTTCAAACTAACATCACTGCTTCTCAGTATTTTGGAGAAGTCACTGACAGTGAACTTGCCCCGTGCAATACAGTTCCTGATCTGACTGCTGGTATCTAACGTTTTGTTGTGGATCCAATAATATGAAATTGTTGATAATTTCAATCTTTTCTCCATCTACCATGATGTTGCTTATTGATTCAGTGGTAATGATTTCCTATATGGAGAAAATTTAATCATATAATCTAATTTCACTATATGGTGTTGTTAAGTGCTGCTGAGTCAAGGATGACTCTTATTCACCCCGTGAACCCTGACCTTTCCTGAGTCATCATCATCTTCTCTGACACACTCTGCCCACTGCAGTAGTGACTGTGTCAATCTATCTTGTTGAGGGTCTTCCCCTCTTTCATTGACTCTCTACCTTTCCAAGTATGATTTCTATTTCCAAAGAATAGACTGTTCTAGAATCATGCTTAAAGTATGTGAAAACAAAGCTTCTCCATCCTTGCCTCCTACTAACACTCTGGAAGAAAAAGGTAGTACTTTTTTAAAGATATATCCTTTTGTTCTTTTGATAGTTCATGCATGACAACAGCTTTTTGGTTCAGATATAGATTTTATCTGAGCATAATTAAGTGTTCTGGGAATCCTATTCTTCTCTATGTTAGCCATAGTTTGCTGTGATCCACACAGTAAAATGCTTCTGCATAGTCAATAAAACACAAATAGACACTCTTCTGGTAGTCTCTTATTTCAGCCAGGAACCATCTGAGATCAGCAATGATACCCCTGATGCCATGGCCTCTTCAAAATTGAGAATGAGCTTCTGTCAGTTCTCTATCAAAATACTGTTATATCCACTTTCAGACGATCTTCAATAATAGTTTTATTACATGTAATATTCACACTGGTCTGTCCATTTGCAGTACAGAAGTAACTCATGCTTGCTGTGATGCTAAACACTGTGACACTGATGTGTCAAACACGATAATGGCTACCCATGGTGGACAGTGTTTGGTGGAGTTCCCCAATTAAAACAAGTTTGGAAGCAGGAGTGGCATCCACTTCTGAAATAGTTTGTCTCCAGAAACTCTATGAACTTGGAGAAATGATGAAAGTTATACAAGTGTTCAGGTCTTTTGTTCATACAAAGGTCTTTTGTTCATACGGTCACTATGAGTCACCTATGACTTGACGGCACTTAACAACAACAACATGTAATATTATTTTAAAATTGTTCATTAATGTTACATTATTGATTTTACAGTATTTACTGTGCCTCAAATGTCTCAACTGTATCACAAATGTCTCAAAAAATAGGAACAATTATTTAAACCTCTTAAAATAAAAACTATTGCTAAATTGAAGAGGGAAAAGAAAAGATGTTGCAAATAACTTACTGCTAAGCCAAAAAAGTCTAAATCAGGAGTAAGCAAATTTCCACCTACAGGGCAGTATTCTATTAGTTATGTTTTTTGGTAAATAAATTTTTATTGCAATACAGCCATACTTATTCATTTATATATTGTTTATGACTGCTATAATAGCAGAATTGAATAATATGTACCTCAAAACAAAAATTTATTATCTGGCCTTTGATAATTGCTGGTTGAAATTTAGGCCAGATGAAAAAAACACAAATATGATAAATGAGTTCTTTCTCAGCCAACAATTAGCAGTAAAGTTATTCTCTCAGGACACATTCTAGGTTTTGGAAACTAGACTATTATTCTGAAGCAAGAGGAGAGAATACTTCTGCTTCCCAACTCCCCATTCCTGGCCACCAATATTCCCTGCAGTAAGGGCCTTTGTATTCTCCGTGGGCCTAAGAAGTCTCCATTCCCAGGGGATACTTTACCATGGGTTGCCAGGCATTCACACGTCCCTGATTGTTGAGCCGGGCGCAGGAAGGTTCCCAGTAATCTCCCCACCAAGATTTTTTAAATGAGGAAGCTGTGATTTGCTTGTTTTCTATCTTTCGACTTTCCATCCCAAGTGGTGTGGAACATCCTATTAAAAGAAAAGCAATGTGATTAACTATGGGCCACCTCTATTCTTTGCCAACCACTCATCTCTTAAAACGGTTTCACTTTAACTTGGATCCATAGCCACCACTCAACTTGGAGGCAGCGGTCAAGAAATCAAATGGTGTACTGCATTGGACAAATCTATTAAAAAAGACAACTTTAAAAGTGCTAAAGAGAAAAGAAGTCCCTTTGAAGTCTTAAGTGTGTTGGACCCATAATGCTATTTTCAACTGTCTGAGAGGCATGTGAAAGTGAGAAAATGAATAAGGAGAATTGATGACTTTGAATTGTGACACTGGAAAAGAATATCAAATAGACCAGAGACTGTCAAAAACAAACAAAATATTTCTCGGAAGAAGTGTAGCCAGAATGCTTAGAAGCAAGAATGGTAAGACTGCATCTGGTCGTGTTATCAGGAAGGGCCAGTCCTTTGACATCATATTTAGTAAAACTGAGGGTGAGTGAAAAAGAAGATTCTCAACAAGATGGACCAACACAGTAGCTGCCACAGTGGGCTCACTGCGCAGATGGTGAGGATGGTGCAGGACTGTGCGGTCTTTTGTTCCATTGTCCATAGGGCTGCTGTGAGGCAGAGCTGACTTGATGGCACCTGTAATATAACAACAACATATTCCACCCACTCTGTACTGCAGAGGAGTTAAGAAATGATGCAACTACCAAGTAATAATTTCAAACACAGCTATTACCACTATTAACATGTATTGTACCCAAGCACCAAAAACTGTTCACAAGTTTTACAAGTATTAGTAAAGACTCATCATTATCTGCAAATGAGATAGGTGCTGCAGTAGCATGTTATGCAGGGAGTTGCACTGCTGACCTAAATGCAGCACCTCTCCAGCAGTTCAACCCCACCAGCAGCTTCATGGGAGGATGGCCAATCTCCTCCCATAAGATTAATGACCTTGGGAAACCCACTGGTCAGCTATGATGAGTAGCTTTGGACAGCGCCAATGCATAAGTGAGTTAGTTACAAATGAGAATTCAGAAACAAAAGAAGAAAAATTAACTTGTTTAAAGTAACACAGAGCAAAGAATTAGAGACTGACTGAATCAGGGATCAGGAAATCTGACCTCACATGCAAGTTCTAAAGATCTAAACTCACTTCCCTCCTTGTGACAGTCATGATAGAGTAAATGGTCCTGGTACCTTTGACTTTTGCTTTGAAGCAGACAACATGTTTAAACTATTAATACATATGAAAACATGTTTATTCTTCTAAAGAAAGCTTACAGAGAAAAAGATACGGTAGATGTTTAGTTGGTATGGTGTTCCATTGAATCGGTTACAACTCATAACAACACTATAGGAAAGAGCTGAAATTCTTGATAAGATTTCCAAGGCTATGACTCTTTATGGAAGCAGCCTGCCACATCTTTCTTCTTTAGAAGAGGCAGTAGGTTTGAATAGCTAACCTTTGCGTTAGCAGCCTAACACAACTGCTGTGTCACTGGGGCCCCCAGGCCCTAAGTAACTAAAAAAATCCATTATTATGGAGCTGGAAGTGACTGATAGTTGACTCTTCATTGTGTTTCCAAGGCTGGTAAAAAAGCACAGGAGGAGACTGTCCATATTCTGAACCACCAGAAAGGCCTTGCCTTTGAGGTAGAAGCGCTACTCCCTACAGACTAAGCCACCCAGGCTCTTGCTGCTGCTGTGTACCGCTGAATCAGAACTGTCCCAGAGCTGATCCTCTAGCAGCTTTTCAGAGGCAGTAAATCTAATAGGAGGAGATTGTCCTTCTTCCTCAGAGCGGCTAGTGGATTTGAAGCCTGTACCTTTGGGATTGTAGCACAACTTTTCACCACTCGGCCACCAGTGCAGTCACTATTTAATATTTTCTTTTTTGACCCCTTAGAATGATTCATGTTATGCACTCTGGAATTTTGCCAAGGCATGAATTTGAATGTCCAAAGGTGACAAGACTGGTGGGTGAATGTAAGAAACATAGCCAGTGAGCGAGTCTAGCAGACTTGCTCTATCATCCTCTTCTCTGCGAAATTTTGTTATCTCTACTCAATCATACAGAAATGGCTTAAAGTACTGTTGTTGTTTGGTGCCATTAAGTCAACTTCAACTCACAGAGGCCCTTTGAACAACAGATCTGAACCTTGCTGTATCCTGCACCAGCCTCACTATCTCTGATATGTTCCAGTTACTGTGTCAATCCATCCTGTTGAGGGTTTCTCTCATTTTATGACCCTCTACCTTTCCCAGAATGATGTCCTTTTCCAAGGACTGGCCCCTCCTGACAGCATGATCAGTGTCTGTGGGATGAAGTTTCACCATCTTTGCCTTGAAGGAGCACCCTGTTTGCTTTTCCTCTAAGACAGACTTGTTTGTTCTTTTTCCAGTCCATGGTATATTCAGTATTTTTATTCAATACTACACAACTCAAAGGCACACTAAAAAAAGTAAGCCTTCTGTTAAAACTAATCATATAACTATCAAGGGAAGAAATTTATTTAAAAAAAATTCTACTTGTACAGAAAATAGATGGTTTAAATATATCAACAGAGTTAAACTTTACATCTTAGGGTGGCGTGACTTGAACGAATCTACCATTTACACCATATGCCAAATTTTAAGACAAAGTAAATGGATTTATGGACCTCCGACAAGGAGTGTATGTGTAAAGTTTGCATTTTATGTGGGAAATGTTATACACCACTGCTCTCTGGGTATTGGCAAAGTGCCCAACTCCTTATTGCTGATGAATATCGAGGTCATAAAACCAAACCCACTGCTATGGAGTCCATCACTGCAATCCTATGGGAGAGCAGAACTGCCCTTAGGATTCTCTGAGCTGTGAATCTCTGTGGAAGTAGACTGCCACATCTTTCCCCGGCAGAGCAGCTGGGGGGTTCAAGCTGTTTAGGGTACTACTTAACTAATGTGCTGCCAAGACTCCTGTCTGGGGTATATTGTTCCATTATCTGTTTTGATAAGAAACTGATTCCAGGGCTCAGCTACTTTTCCAATTATGACTCATATCCTCTTCCCTCCACCCAGAGAGAAAGTATTCTAGCTCCCTAACAGGTGTGTGGCTTTCAGATATTCCTCCTCCCCCGAACCCTGGGAAAGTTAGGTGGGGCCTAAGCAAGCCAGTCCCCTGGGTCGGCCAAGTCCTTATCTTTTTACCTTCATAACATTAGATACTCTATTGTATATGTGCTTTGAAATAAAAAAAAAATATTGGAAAACACTTCTTTAAGTGTCAGAGAATAGTTGATGATATTCTTAAACGTTCTTGTTATACAGTAGAATTTTACTGTAGCCACTTAAGAATGCTGGCATTTATTTTTATCACGGACACATTGATTTTTATAGGACACGTTGTTGTTATGTACTATTGAGTTAGAATCAACCCATAGCTGACCCTCCTGTGGGTTTTCAGAGGCAGTAATAACATGGAAGGAGAATGCTCATCCTTCTCCCGTGAAGCAGCTTCTGGATTTGTACCACATGCCTTTGGGTTTGCAGCACAGACTCTTACCAGTAGGCCAGTCACTTATATCGAAAAGCATTGGGTACCTACTCAATTAGGGAATGAACATCTAGTACAAGCATAGTTTGAGGAAGCTGAGTAACAAATATACATTTCAATAACATTACTTGAACACTTAATAAGTGCTAAAATATTTTATCAAAGTCTGAATGATCTGGAGGGTTTTTGAAGATTCAAGTCTAATTTGATTCTCAGTTAGTTCTTACTGAAAATGGTTTGATGGAGGCAAGTCAATTCTAGGACCCTTCTTTGAAGAAGCAGGATAATGTCCATACTATCAAGATGTTGCTCAGATAGGTGATGCCAACTCTCCTTGTTGGGTGAAATAATTTCAGTCTAGATGACAGTGAAAACTGATCTGAGTGAAAACTCTTGTTTCACAAGTCATTGAAGAGAACGAAAAAGTCTACCCATTTCCCCCACCCCTTTTAAATCCGGCAGCAAGAAAATGATGCCACTCTTGATACTTACCATTAACTTCACAACCTTGCAGCTCCAATCGGAGGGTAGGTCTGTTGTAGGACCTGGTTGGAGAGATTCTAATGTATCTAGCCACAATAGGTGGGTCAAAATAGTTGTCTTTTATTGTAGAGGCATCTGAATTGCCATCAAAATACTAGAAGGAAATAGGAAAGCTGAGTTGTTAAACACTCCTCTCTAAAATGATTTTACAACAACATTTTAAAATCCAATTTTAATATTATAATTTTGAGCTCTTACATGACTTAGTCATACCTAAAAATCAACTGATGTACATGAATGAAACATAATGTATATGAATTCTTATATGCAAACTAATTAGAAAGTAAAAAAAAGAATTAGACTTCTATTTCTGCAAAGATGGTATAGTCTTTTTCTTCTGCCAAATATATTTTAAAAATTGTACTTATATATAAAGTAAGCCTAAGACTGAAAGGAAACAAAGGAAAAGTTAAACAAAAATTAAAGTACAGCACATGAGAAAGGCGCAGAGTTGGGCACATTTTTCATCTGTTATATATATATATATATACTCACAATCAGTTGAAGTTGGCTCAATATCACCTAACAACAACATGTCAAAATTGTCAGGACATAGCTGGGTAGTGCTAAGAGAGAAATTAATAGCCTTTTATGCATACATTGGAAAAGAAGTCTAAAATCAATAACCATAGTTTCCACTTTAAGAACCTAGAAAAAGAAGAGCTATACATACTTTAGATAAGCAGAACAAAGGCAATAATAAAGCTAACAGCAGATATCAGTATAATGGAAAATCTCAGAATAGTAAAATTAATAACATTGGTTTTCTAAAAAGATCAATACAATTAATAAACTTTGAACAAATTGACAAAGTATAAAAGAGAAAAGTTTCACATTAACAACGTCAAGAATGAAACAGGAAGTATCATTACAGATCCTGCAAACATCAAAAGAATAATTAGAAAATCCTATAGACAAAGCAGTTCAAATCCACCAGTTGCTCCACAAACAAAAGATGGGTAATCTCTTGTGCAATCTACTGCCTCTGAAAACCTACTGGCAAGTCAGTAATGGGTCCATTCCAACTCAGCTGCACATAACAACAACTCCAGGGAGCTTTGGTGGCCTAGTGGTAAGAAGCTGAGCTGCAATCCCAAAGGCATGTGGTTTGAATCCAACAGCTTTCCCAAGGGAAGGATGGGTAATCTCCATCCATGTGATTTATTGCCTCTGAAAAACTCCTGGATGGTCAGCTATGAGTTGGTTCTGACTAAACAGCACAAAACAACAAACAATTATACACATAGAAACTTAATAACTTGGATTGACTTATTAATAATATAGCTATCCTAACTCACCCAATAAGGAATAGATAACCTAAATAGCCCTATAGCTATTAAGTAAATTAAATATGTAATTTTATTATTTCCAAAAAGAAATCTTCAGGCCCAGGAAGCTTTACTAGAAAATTTTACTAAAGGATTAAAAGCAATTTTACATACTCCCTAGCAAAAATTTCTTTTTTTAAATACTGATTTATTTGTAAAGTTCAAATACATTGCTTTTCACATAAAATTCTTCCCATTTCCTTCACCCCCACATACATTAAACTGTGCAACCCTATGATTAACATCACCTCTCCCACCCATCCTCACCCCTCTGCTCCTACCCTCACCCCCCCTTGGATCCTCATATATTCTGCAATAACGCTTTTATACAGTATTTGTCCTTGTAGGACTGAGTTAGTTCACTCAGCATAATGCTTTCCAGTCCCTCTGAAGTTCAGTAGTAATTTGCAAAATCAAGAAATTTTTATTTTTGAAGAATCTTTTATCAAAATGAAATGTTTTATGAATATCTTCCTGAATCAAAACTGAATACAGTATAAATACATACATTGATATTTCCCATAAGTACAGCTATACAAATCTTTAAACTACAGACTATAATTTATGCTCTCTATCCAATACTGATGAGAGGAAATCATGATTGAGATTTTCATGACATATCATAAGGTAGGTTCAGATCATTCATTACTAGAAATAGTAGTTTATTACCATCAAAATCAGAACCAAACGTACAGTTAACACTCTAGAAGATTTTCAGAGGCGATTAATTGCACAGGACGGGAGCGAACCTTGAATCTTTGGGTTGCCAGTGCAACTCCTTAACACTAGGCCACCAGAGCTCAGCTGATTACTAGAAAGTGGTAAATTATTTACATGAAAAGTAAATGGAAACAGGTTTAAAATGATTAGTATGCTAATAATAACAGACTAATTGCTCTGCAATAAAAATTTTTTCTTATTTATTT